TGTCACTGGGGATGTCAGAATGCCTGCCGCAGTCCCACTATAAGTCGCTAATCACCGCCATTACTAGTATTTTTAACAAACAAAATTCCAGTATATACCGCCATTTGTAAATGCTATAACTTTCATGTAAACCAATTCATTTACACATATTGGGATTTATTTTTAGCAAGAACATGTAGCAGAATACATTTTGACCTAAATTTATGATAAAATTTGATTATTTTTTTTTTACTGCATAATAGCAAAAAGTCAAAAATATTGTTTTTTTCTCAAAATTGTCACAGCGTGACAATAGCGCTAAAAATAAAAAACGCAAAGGTGATCAAATACAACTGAAAGAATGCTCAATTTGTGGGGAAAAAAGAACATAAATTTCATTTGGGTACAGAGTTGCATGACCGCACAATTGTCAGTTAAAGCAACGCAGCGCCGTAACGCAAAAAATGGCCTGGTCAGGAAGAAGGGTAAATCCTCAGGAGGGCAAGTGGTTAAAAAGATTGAAAATGGCTTCTAAAAATCCAATAACATTTTAGTGATTGGGTATTAATATGCTGTTAGTGAATACTGCATGTAACTGCATTACAAAGGAGCTTTTCATACTTGCCCAGTATTTTAATATACATATTATACATATTCTAGGTTTAAAAAAAAGCCATCCGCACCTGATTGTATAATTGCCTATATGATAAATATGCAAAGTGGAACCGTTTAAACATTTGCAATTGTAAGCTGCGTCTTGGCATCTGAAGTAGCACTTTATTCAAGTGTTGTGTATTGCTGCCTTGGGGTCCTGGGATCAAATTAATTAAGGAAGATTATCTCCATGGTGTTTAAACGCAACTGCTTTTTGCGCAGGTGTACAGGTTTTCCGGATTCCCCACACAATACAATGTCAACTTTCAGTTTTGGGAGGGCATTGAGCGGCTTGAATCTTGCTGACCATAGTAAAAGACGTCCCCGGTTGGAAGTGGAATACCGTGGTTATGGCTGCAGCAATGTGCCATAACCCCGTATTGTTTTTCCTTTTAAAAGTGGTCTGAGTGCCCCTGCCCCGGCCTCTTCCCGGTGGTTCTCGGGCTTACTTGGATGATTGGTGAGTCCGAGAACCGATCTGAGGATTGTGGCGGTTGGGCATAGAGATGAGTGAAGGTAAGATGGCTTTCACTCCTCTCTATGGCTAGGACAGGGGTCTCTAAACTGTGGCCCGAGTGCTGGATGTGACCCTTTGCTACCCTTTATCCTACCCTTGGGGCACTATTCCTTCCACTGAAACCAACAATGGGGCAGTACTTCTTCCCATGAAACCAATGATGGTGTACTATTCTTCCCACTAATACCAATGGTGGGGCACTACTCCTCCTCCTACTGACCAACAACCCTGAGGCCATGTTTATTCTCACTGATGCTGGGGCCAGGATATTTTCTATCCTCACTGGCCTTAATCCGGCCCTCCTAAAGTCTGAAGGACAGTATACTAGCCCTTTGTTTGAAAAGTATGGAGACCCCTGGCCTAGGAGAACTGGAATGACGTCTTTACATCACTCCCGGTTCTGACCTAATGTTAACAAGGACATTCTCTTATTTAAAGCATTTGATCAATGCTTTTTTGATCTAATGCTTTACATTGTAGAGGAGAGATGTGGGGTCTTATTGACCCCATATCTCTCCATAAAGAGGACCTGTCACTGCTTATTTCTATCACAAAGGATGTTTACATTCTTTGTAATAGGAAAAAAAGTGATCATAATTTTTTTTTTTAAGGGACAGTGTAAAAATAAAAAATTCAATCAAATTATTTTTTTTTTTGTTTAACCTCCGTAGCGGTCTGATTATGTCCATATTTCTGTGCTCAAAGCGGTACATTTTTTTGAATGGATATATGTATTTTTTTTATTGTAGGCCTGTAATTTTTAGGAATAACTCACTGAAATCTGTCAGAACAAGAGCCTAGTAAACATCCCGGGTATGTTACAATTTGAAACATGAAATCATAAATTATAATTTAATAAATAATTATAAAAATAATAATATAATAATAATAAATTTAATTCAATAATATAATCAAACCAAAAACACTGAAATCTGAAATATAGCGCCAAGTTCGCACATCACTGAACAAAGTCGCAGAATCGTTTTCAGTGTCTGATGACGAATTTCCCCACGAATCATTATCACTCAATTCTGCAAGTGGTTCTGATTTACTATCGTTGTTCTCTAGCTGGTCTAAAACTGATTTTGACCTAAAGGGACGCTTTTTGGACGCCATGGACGTTTCTCAGTTTCCAGGCAGAAAGAACAGTAATAATGCAGGCAGGGTACAGGACAAAGCACTCGGGACAAAATGTATGTGAAATGGTTTGATACAGTAAAGTTTTACTATGTGATTTTAGTGAATTTAGTGAATGTCACTTTTTGTCATTTTCAAATTTCCCGCCGTTCCGTCCCCCGTACGTCCTGACGTCGCAGGGGATGGAACCCAGAAGACAGATGCCGACATCCACTGGAGGACATTGCCGGGGACACTGCAGGAGGGACATCGCGGGAGCGCAGGACAAGGTAAGAGAAGAAGACATCCCAGAGCAACGCCGCATGGTAAGCCCTAGTGTAGCTTGGGGTTACCACTTGTGGTACTGAAACTTTACCCCGAGCTACACTCGGGAATACCGCCAGGGAGGCTACAGCTCCCTGTTCACGTGCAGTGGTGAACCCAATCATAGGACACATATGTAAACGGTGTTCAAACTACACATGTGAGGTATCGCCCCGAACGTCAGAGCAAGAACAATAATTCTAGCACTAGACCTCCTCTGTAACTGTAAATTGGTAACCTGTAAAAATTTTTACATTTTCACCTATGGAGATTTTTAAGTGTTGTAGTGCCATTCCGATAACATGCGCAATTTTAAAGCGTGATATGTTGGGTATCCATTTACTCAGGATAACATCATCTTTCATACTTTACAAAAAATGTAGTTATATTATGGGGGGTTTTTACATTAATTACAGTGTATCTTTTCCAAAACATTTGTGTTTGAAAAATCGCTGTGCAAATACCATATCTCTATCTTTAAACTATACCCTTAAAGTGATGGCAAACCTCAGACCACAAATATGATCAAAGTATATCCCTCTATAGTGTGTCCTTGTCTCAATCCAGAGCACTAAGTGTCATTTTTGTATCCTGCCTCTTTCTTCTCTTCGTTCCATTGCTATCTGTATGAGTCACTTCTGACAAGTTTTCCTGACACCAAGAGGTAATAAGGTGACAGGGGAGGGGTCTCAGCACACAGCCTGTGATTAACAGCCTCAGCTCTGTTCCTGTGTGTGCTGTGTGAAGAGGGTGTGTGCCTTCCCTCTAATCATCTCTCACTGAGCTCTGCAGAGAACAACCTCAGCTCCCTGCCCCTTGCTTTCTGAAAGCTCAGACAAGCTGTATAAATTCAGAACTTTGAATGACTATAGAGAAGATATGGCTGCAGATAAACAAGTACAACATATGTAGGCGTATTTGCTTCATCTTTGTGTATCAATTGAGGTCAGTCACTTCACTAGGCATATGTAAGGGTTTAAAACCGTTTTAAATGCTTCATTCTGCCCTTACCAGTAAATCAGGAAAGCATGACAACATTGTTTGATTTTGTATTGCCCATGACTGTAGGGCTGAAATGGGAATTTTGCTGAAGATATCTTGTCAATGGAGACCATAAAATGTATATGATACTATCCAGGGGTGGACTGACAACTCACGGGGCCCCTGGGCAATAGGGGATCATGGGGCCGCTGTGTCCTTGCCCAAACTCAAAAAAGCCTATGAAAAAGGTACCAGGGGCATCTCATGGGGCCCCCTACTGACCCCAGGCCCTCGGGCAGTGCCTGAGTTTCCAAATGGTCAGTCCGCCCCTGATACCATCAAATGTTTCAGCTTTCAAACAACCATGCAAGTCTGCTGCCTCATTCCTCATGGACATTTACACGCTCCTAAGTCTTGAAGTGTAAAATATTCGGTGATTTCCTGCGCCCAGGGAGCCATGACACCATGGACAGTTGCCAATACAAGTGATGCATGCAGCCATTTACTTGTATTGGAGGCTGTATGCTGCAACATGGCTTTGCAGGCTCAGGAAAGCACCAGAGATGTTATGTTTAAAGACTCAGAAGAGCATAAATGTCCATGTGCATGAGGCCTTAGAAGATTCCATTTTCCATCATCTCAACCCTGCATTTTCCAAATCAAAGTGATTGTAAGTTTCCAGTCATTTGTGAAGATCCTACCAGTCATAGGCCACGCTGCTCTCCTCATTAGAAATGTACAGATTGGGCACAGTGGCTAAGGGTTCACACTTCCACCTGGCAGTACTAGAGTCGTTGGTTCAAATCCCAGTCATGGCACCGCCTCCCTCCAGTTTGTATGTTCTCCCTGTGCCTGTGTAGGTTTCCTCCGGGTACTCCGGCTTCCTCCCACACTCCAAAGACATGCTGGTAGGTTAATTGCTCCTATCTAAATTATCCCTAGTATGTGTATGTATGAATGTGAGTTAGGGACCTTAGATTGTAAGCTCCTTGAGAGTTAGGGACTGATGTGAATGTACAATATATATGTAAAGTGCTGTGTAAATTGACAGAGCTATATATGTACCAGTAATAATAACATTACTGAATAACCACTTTGATACCAGGTACATTCAACCCCTTTCTGCCCAGACCAAATTTCAGAACTGTCACATTTTGAATGACAATTGCGGAGTCACGCAACACTGTACCCAAATGAAATGTTTATCATTTTGAGACAAATAGAGATTTCTTTTGGTGGTATTTAATCACAAACTAAACAAACAAAAAAGACAGAACATTTTGCAAACAAAAACACCTTTTTCATAGTTTTTGTTATAAAATTGGGCAATTAAGTTAATTTTCTTCTTCATTGATGAGGTTGCACTGATGGACTCTGATGAGGCTGCACTGATGGGCACTGAGCAGGCTGCACTGATGAGGTTGCACTGATGGACACTGATGAGGCTGAACTGATGGGCACTGAGCAGGCTGCACTGATGGGCACTGGTGAGACTGCACTGAAGGGCACTGAGCAGGCTTCACTGATGGGCACTGATGAGGCTGCACTGAAGGGCAATGAGCAGGCTGCACTGATGAGGCTGCACTGAAGGGCACTGAGCAGGCTGCACTGATGAGGCTGCACTGATGGGCACTGAGCAGGATGCACTGATGAGGCTGCACTTATGGGCACTGATGAGGCTGCACTGAAGGGCACTGAGCAGGCTTCACTGATGGGCACTGATGAGGCTGCATTGAAGGGCAATGAGCAGGCTGCACTGATGAGGCTGCATTGAAGGACACTGAGCAGGCTGCACTGATGGGCACTGATGAGGCTGTACTGAAGGGCGCTTTGCAGGCTGCACTGATGGGCACTGATGAGGCTGCACTTATGGGCACTGAACAGGATGCACTGATGGGCACTGAGCAATCTGCACTGATGGGGCTGCACTGATGGGCACTGATGAGGCTACACTGAAGGGCACTGAGCAAACTGCACTGAGGAGGCTGCACTGATGGGCACTGATGAGGCTGCACTGAAGGGCACTGAGAACACTGCACTGAGGAGGCTGCACTGATGGGCACTGAGGAGGCTGCACTGAAGGGCACTGAGCAAACTGCACTGATGAGGCTGCACTGAAGGACATTGAGAAGGATGCACTGATGAGGCTGCACTAATGAGCACTGATGACCTGGCACGATGGGGCTGCAATGATAATCAAGGAAATTAAAGGAAAATAAAATTGGTGCTGATGGGATATAATGTACTAGAGATAATAAAACTGAAGTCCATAAAAGTCCAGTAAACTGTCCATGTGCTGTGTGTCTTTGTTCATCTTCATTACATGGGTGATTATTAGTTTACACAAGAAATCTAACACAGTTTATGTTTCAGTTTAACTCAAAAGCAGCAACAAAGACATTATATTTCCAGCAAGATCAATAGGTGTTTTTGCACTTGCTGAAAAATTTTTTACCCTGATAAATGAAAACTAAAGTGGCCACCACATCTACTGTATAGACTGGTAAGCTGCAAGATGTTACATTTCTATTCTTGTGTTAAGATATTCTTTAAAGTGGAACTTCACCCCAAAAGGGAAGTGCTCCTCCCCTCTCCTCTCCCATTTTTGGGGAGAGCTGGTAGTTTTGATAAGTACCCACTCCCATTTATGCTGGGATCACCTAGGAGAAGTTTACACTGGAACCAATATTTAGGAGGTGGTTCAGTCCATTCTCTGTCACCCTTTCAGGCTCTGTGGAGGACCATTTACCTCTGATGTTACCAATGTCTTATTAAAGAGCGCTGTTTGACCACTCTTAATAGGGGGTCTCAATCCTTCCGGTAAGAGTTGCATGCGATCGGATGGTGTCCCACTAGTTGATTTGGAAGTTTCTTGATTTCATCATGGCACGTGGGACTGATTTGATCTGATCTTCATTACAGACTCCTTAATACTGTACAAATATTAATTAACTAATCATCTATTTTCACTCATTGTATCATTTTGCACGAGTGGGATTTCTCTCTTTATTATTAATTTGACTTTTATTGAGCACTGCACTGTTTGTTTACACAGTCCATTTAACATGGTTTCCTATGACATGTGTACATCTATGCATTTCTCAGCCACTGTGTTTTTGGAGAGAGTCAGGGACTTTTTTAAAACTTTTTTTTGTTCAATAGATTTCAATGGACATGTGGCAGAAATGCATGCAGTGCATTTTTTATGCATTTTTCATGCATCTTGCTTTCTTTTTTTTTTTTTTTTTTGCCAATAGGAAAGTGTTGACTTTGATGCCACTTTGAGGCGACTTTGATGTGACCTTGGATGGGTATGACTTTTATGTAGCTTTTTTTTTTTGTGTTCAATAGACTTCAATGGACATGCAGCAGAAATGCATGCAATGCATTTTTGATGCGTTTTTCATTCATTTTGCTTTCTTCTTTTTTTTTTGCCTATAGGAAAGTGTTGACTTTGATGCCACTTTGATGTGACCTTGGATGGGTGCAACCTTTATGTGACTTTTTTTTTGTTCAATAGACTTCAATGGACATGCAGCAGAAATGCATGCAGTGCATTTTTGATGCATTTTTCATGCATTTTATTTATTTATTTTTGTCAGTAGGAAAGTATTGACTTTGATGCCACTTTGAGGCAACTTTGATTTTACCTTGGATGGGTGCGACTTTTATGTAACTTTTTTTTTTTTTGTTCAATAGACTTCAATGGACATGCGGCAGAAATGCATGCAGTGCATTTTTTATGCATTTTTCATGCATTTTTCATGCATTTTGCTTTCTTCTTTTTTTTTTTTTTTTTCGCCAATAGGAAAGTATTGACTTTGATGCCACTTTGAGGAAACTTTGATGTGACCTTAGATGGGCATGCAACATTTTTATGTGCTTTCTTCTTTTTTTTTTGCTATAGGAAAGTGTTGACTTTTTTTTTTTTTCATTCAGTGGACAGACTTCAATGATGATGCATTTTTGCAGTAGGAAAGTATTGACTTTGTAGAGGCAACTTTGCATGCAATGCACTTTTTGATGCAGTGCATTTTTTATGCATTTTTTTCATGCATTTTGCTTTTTCTTTTTTTTTTTTTTCGCCGATAGGAAAGTATTGACTTTGATGCCACTTTGAAACGACTTTTGATGTGACCATTTGGATGGACATGTGTGTCATTTTTGATTGGTTTTTTATTTTTTTTTTTTTTTTTTTTTGGCTTTGATGACTTTAGTGACCTTGGAACTGATACTTGGATGCAACTTGTTATTTAAGTGCCAGAGAGTGCAAAGTCGCTTCAAAGTTGCAGTGCATTAACAGAACTGTCATACATTTGCTACTTAAGTGCCAGAGAGTGCAAAGTCGCTTCAAAGTCGCAATGCATTAACAGAACTGTCATACTTCTGCTATTTAAGTCAGTGCAAAGTCGCTTCAAAGTCGCAATGCATTTACAGAACTGTCATACTTCTGATTTAAGTGCAGAGAAAGTTGCTTCAAAGTTGCAATACATTAACAGACCTGTCAGAAATGACAGTTCTGTTAATGCATTGAGACTTTAAAGTGACTTTGCACTCCCTGGCACTTAAGTAGCATCAAAGTTGCACCCAAGTAGCACACATCCAAAATTGCATCCAAGTCATATTCCAAGTCGCACTCATCCAAGGACGCATCAAAGTTGCATCCAAGTCACTCTAATCCAAAGTTGCATCCAAGTTGCACCCATCCAAAGTCACATCAAAATCGCATCCAAGTCACGCCCATCCAAAGTAGCATCCAAGTGGCATACTTTCCTACTGGCAAAAAAAACGCATCAAAAACTTTCATACTCCTACTTGCTAAGGAGTCAGTGCAGGGGCGGACTGACCATTCAGGCACTCGGGCACTGCCCAAGGGCCCAGGGTCAGTGGGGGGCAGGGGCGGACTGACAATTCTTGGGGCCCCTGGGCAATAAGGGATCATGGGGCCCCTGTGTCCTTGCCCAAACTCAAAAAAGCCTATGAAAAAGGTACCAGGGGCATCTCATGGGGCCCCCTGCTGACCCCGGGCCCTCGGGCAGTGCCCGAGTTTCCAAATGGTCAGTCCGCCCCTGTGGGGGGCCCAATGAGATCCCCCTGGTACCTTTCATAGGCTTTTTTTGGTGTGGTTTGAGTGTGGGGCGAGGACACAGGGGCCCTATGATCCCGTATTGCCTGGGGGCCAGTTGTCAGTCCGCCCCTGGGTCAGTGACTCAAACTGAATCAGAGACACAACATGACAGCCCAGAAATTAGATAGAGGCCAGCATTGGCAGCCACATTATTCTCTGCGCTCAGGTTTTCTTTAAGATGCTTTGCTTGTAATATTTCAGTTTTCTTGAACCCCTTTGGTTGTGTTTTATGTTTCATGTCTTCATGTAGAAACAAAGTCTTTTTTTCCAGCTCCATTGACATTCTGCGTATCTTGGAGAGGTGAGGTCAACTAGCAATGCAATCTCAAGCCCTCGGTACTGGCTCTCCGGAGACTGACTTATCGCAGAATAAATTCTTGGGCTGTCTGTTAGCTTTGTCTTATAAATGAGGCATCATGGCACTAAATAGCATGAAATAAAATTGTTGTAGTCTATTAAACGTTCTGTATAATCCCAAAAGGCCAGTAATTTTCAGGATGAGCAGGGCCAGGGCTCGGATTTCTCGGGGTAAAAGTTCTTCCAGAGAGAGGACCGTCTTAGTTCAGGAGGTAACGTGGAAATTTCTGTCAGGCGCAGAGATTTAAAGCACCTACCTTAAATCCCGTCCCGCTGGGAACGCAGACACGCATGTGATAAAGTCGATTTTCATTGCACAGCACTGCCAAGAAGGCAACTGTTTTACTTTGAGGAAATATCTTGGAAATTAATCCACCGTGGTTTTTGTCCTTCACAAATACGAGAAGCAAATAAATGTAATTTCTAAATGATGTTTGTTTTCCTTTCTACTTTACGTTTTGAGATGATATGAAATAAAAACATAAAAGGTTTTCGATGACATTGAACCGGAGAGATTTCATTCAATAGAAAGAATATGAACACATTTTAGATCATACAAGTTTTCATAGAAATTTTCTACGCATTGTAAAGGCTGACTAAATCCAAAGCTTCAAACGAAATTTCGGAAGTACGTCATTTGGGGTGGCCTCACATTTAACCTGGGTCAACTGGAGGTCCGAAATTGATCAGTCAGGATGGCTTGGATGACTTAGAGGTGAAACAAATGCCAACTTTGTACATTTCTCAAAGACTCCATTCATGAGAGTTTTCCACAGAATTTCCCATTCCTCTACCAAAACCATTATTAAAGCAGATCTCCAGTATTTTTTTTATTTTTTTTTTAAAGCTGAACTCGGGTCACAAAAAATTCATTTAAATATATTCCTCAATATTCACAAAGGGTAAAAATCAACTCTCACCAAATGCCTTTATAAACCCAGTTACCATTGTAAAAGTAGTGCTGACATCATCACTGTGCTGTACATCACTTGTAGAGAGCAG